AGCTCTCCGCGCGTACATTTACTCGCGATTTATTCTCATCCAGTACAGAGCCATGGCCGAAGATTTCCTTAACCGTATTCACGTTTTGCCAACTACAGTAATCCAAATTCTTGGGCATGAAGCTCGGAAGTGGGTGAACTAGTTCAAAAAGTGAACTAAACGAATACTATTTTTCTGAAATTTCTAAAAAGAAAGTGTTTGCCATGGCTTTGAATGACCGCTTGACGGTGGAGCACGTTATCTTCTCCTCAGACAACGAAGGAGAGAGAGAGGCATGAACCTAATCGTCGTGAAACGGGTACCCTCTCCCAAAATTTTTCATTTGCAAATTCAGCTTGATTTAAAATCTACGACACTCTTGCAATCCGTCGGCAACTGCCATGGAGAGCTGCTACCCGCTTTTTTTAGGTATTAGAACTATCCCGAATGTTGCCTCAAAATTTAGTTATATTGCTCATTTTTATTTTTCCCGGTGGTTTTTTGAACATGCGAGTTTCTTGTTCTTCAAAGCGAATAAATTTTTCCGAAATTATTCTCTTGCAAGTCAGTGACTGTCAAAGAGCTCTATTTCTCAACAAAGTACTGAATTGCTCCGAAGAGTTCTCTAGTCAAAATACCCCGCTGGCAATTTTTAAAGTTGCCAAACAATTTTTGTAAACATTGGAACTTTGAGATTTCTTTGGTCATGACATTCTTCAAAATTATCTCCTTTCAAATCGGTGACTGCCATGATAAGATGCGGGAGTTGGGCTTCATAAGTGTTACTGCACCTCTCGTAAAAAATCAGAAGTCAAATCTTCGTTGTTTTTATTTAGAATTACCTCCGAACCTCTAAAAGCCATAACATTGCACTTTAGTTTGGTACGAGAAAATCGACTTGAAGTTTCTGGGAAACTTTTTTCATTTGTGATCAATCGAAAGTGAATCGTTAAGAGCTAACACGTCCTGCTTAAATTGCGCCTCGCACTTGTATGTTGCTAAGCGTTACAGAGGCATATGGATATCCATCCCTCTTCACACCGTCGTATTATGAAAGGTTGAAGGAGGATTCAGCGATAAGGTCAGAGGTCGAAGAAATAAAATATACCTAGTGGGAGGGCAGGAGGACTTCCTAAGAGTAAGGGACGATGCACGTTTTGCAGCGAAGGAGTAAGCCCACAGCGGCCTAGCAGAGGCATGCCCATGCCGCGGCACGCCAACCTCTCGCCGCCTGACTCTAACCGTTCAGCTAGGAGAGCGTTAGCGTTGAAGAGCGCAGCACCTATGGGAGCGCGCAAATGCGAGATACGGACCAGAAGGGGTTTCGATTCTCTATAGGTTTGGGCGCTTTCAAGCCGTCTTTTCTCAATCCGTGCCACCCACTGGCCACCCCTACGTTGATTTCTGATGAGCATCTCCCTCGTACGTAACCCTCCGCCTTTGGCCTTGAGGCCTCCCACCGCTTTACCTGACAGGACAACTCGCCTGTCCTCTCCTGCGGCTCTCCCTTCGAAACGTTATCTCGTTTATTTGTTTTGACAAGGTACCATCAGAAGAAAGCGAAATGTTTCACATTTTTTTTTCCTCGAGCCAATTCATAATCTTCAAGATAGCGTTCCCTTCTCCCCCCCCTTCCCTCCAAACAGCCATAGCTTTCTGCCACTGCACCCCCCCCCTCTCTCTTCTTCGTTGGTCGAATAATGTTGTACGAAGTCGCGATCCAGAGCTACTGGCAGACCGTAGGCGCTCAGGGTCTCTCTTGTGTGATGCGAATACTGCACTGGGTTATAGCACAGACAGGAAAACTGTCTAATAATCCTTGGGACAGACAGGAGCTTCAAGGTGTTAGCTACATAAAGTCACCTAGATAATCCCCTCCTTCGACCGTCTTGCACAACCCAAAGGCTCGATACATCAATAACTCCGTGCCGACTCCATTCGCTCGGGCGTTTCTTGAGGATGGAGGGGGTCCTAAGCTGGGGCTCATGAAGGTCGGTGGAAATGGTAGAGATATCAGAGGCGGAGTAAGAATAGTGCAAAATTTCCCTGTCAAGTCAGCATACTTCCTTCACTGGTCTCCGTCCATACGTATTTTGGCAAAGAATTTTGGAGGATGTGGATGTTGGTGGTGTCTACCAATACATCGCCCGTTGAAGGGGATCGCATAGGGGATCCCTACGGGAGTTTGTTGGTGGGTAAGGGGGAGGGAGAAAGGAAGGAGAGTGGCCATAGAAATATTGAAATCGGCACAACTTGACGGTTACCCAGTGGTCCTCGGCAGCGTAATAACTTCGCTTCTCTCTTTTCAGGGAGGGTAATAAGCCATGAACTGCTGCCTTTCATGAAGAGAGGCTCTGCCTCAAAGTGGTTCATGGTTCATCGATGCAAGATGACTGAATAGAGATCGTAGGCCGATTCTGTGAAGCTGGGATCAGACAGGCCGGCTTCACCGAAATTCGAGCCTAGTAAAGGTCTTTAGAAAAAGTGGCAGGACACGAAAGAACCCTATGGTCTGCGTGCTTTTCTTCACCTGCCTCTTAGTGCCTCATTTTTAGCTCACGTATTAGCTCACGTAAGGAGAAGTGCGCGCCATTTGGTTGTGCCTAGCGGAAATTTGCAGTTTGCAGCGTGCAGTGAAGCCTTGCGGGCGAACACCAACGTGGTCTTTCTTTATTGTGATCCTTTATAGGCACTTACCCCCCTCCCCTCAGCCTCTTGGTTCACCCGTTTACCATGCGCGCTTTAAAGACGCAGTTTACGAGATGAGGCCACATCAAAAATTAACGTAGAGGCAGTCATGAGGAGTTGGAAGAAACAAACCATGAGAATAAGAAACGGCGCGGAACCCGAGAAGCAGGGACTTCTTTCTCTGCCAAGTGATTTCTTCAGAATGCGAATCAGTGCTGTCCCCCCTCAACGTTAAGGCCCTCTCCGTTGAAGGGTTAGAGTCAGACTGTGAGAGGGTGGGCGTGCCGCGGCCCACAAGGCGCGGGTATGGCCCTGCTTGACCCCTAGGGCATACTCTTTGCTGCGAAACGCACATCGTCTCTTAGGGAGCCCGCCTGAATTTCAAATTGGTATATTTCTAATCCTAGTCCTCCGATCGCATTTTTATTCAAATTGATGATAAGCGAGAATAACTTGTCGTTTTGGTTTGCTTGACCCAAAAGAAAGTCACACTTTGCGGATTTTAGTTTTGGATTTTGCTAAGCTTTTTTTGCCGTAGCCATAACATGCTTCTTTTTCAGTGGGGACATGACAGTTCTAGGCTAGTGTCAAAGTGGAGCAAAATGGTTTTGTCCCACATTTCACCTAACCCACCTTTGACGGGAATCTCGGCGAAAATATTTCGCAGCAATTTTTTTTCGCCACATGATCGCTATGTATTAAAAGTATCGTCCAAAATTGGGGCTCTTTATCCACGCCATATTCCATTTCTGTGAAGAATGCCCTTAAAGGCACATGGTCCTACAAATTGGCCGCCATTGGAAATGAATGATAGGAGTGGTAAACTGTGTTTGGTAACGAACAAAACGAGGAAAGCCCTGTTTACTTCGGCTTCAAACGAGTCAGTGACCAAGACGGAATTCGTTTGGGTGCTTTAAGCGCGTTGCCAGGCATCATGCCGACAAACATGGCTTGTCGATTAAACAAAGCATTACATGGAGAAACGAATAGGTAAAGTCATTTGAGAAGAAATGCTCTTTTAGAGGAGAAGAGAACAGCGACATTAGCAGTATCAGCTCCAAAGCAGTATCAGCTCCAACGCGCTTCTGTTATAATATAGCCACATGGGGGCGGAGCTCTGCACAAAGGGGTGACCACGGGTAAAGGCAAGTCAGGGTTTGAACTGATGTATTATTGCGCTTGCATATGACAGCGGAGATGTGAAGCGTAATATCAGTAAGGAAAAAAGTGGAAGAAACCGTCGACAAGGGAAAGCAAAACTCATGTTTCTAGTAGCGGCGAAGCGTAGTATTGATTTGTGGGCGGGCTCATGGTGTTGGCGGGGCTTATGCTGCATTCTTACCCCTTAGCGCCTCAGCCTTATCAGCTTATCCCGGAAGCTGCTAAATGCTCCCCGCTTCCGTATCGCCGCATTTTTTAATGGGAAGGCTTGACGTGGATAAAGATCCCGAACCCTGCCTTTGATGGACCGCTGCGGACGTGTCGTCAGCCCTCAAAGCGCTTTGATTCGATGTCGTAGGCCTTGGTTAACCGCTTCATATAGCCAGCTTTCCCTCCTCAGCATCCGCTTATAGTGGCCATCTAGCCGCTGCATGCTACCCCCCATGCGCCTAAAAGTCCGATTCAAGGTCACAGTACGTTTCTCGGATTTCCTTGGTATTTACTGGGAACACAGGTGAAATGAATGAAAAGCTGGTCAATGCTATTATATTTACGTCAAGCTGGATGTGAAGAAATTTCACATTCTGCACTCCCTTTTAAGAAAGAACTTCCTCACTGAAAATTTGAAGCTATTTTCGTTGAATTTGATAAAATTTGAAATTTTCCCATGTTTACAATCGCTTCCTCAGCTCAAATTGTTATTCTTAGAAAACAAGTCCTACCTCTCTTTCTTCGAATTTCTTTTTGTAATGTCCGAAAGGATCGGCACTCGATGCGCTACCTGGCGGTTTTGTCTCCTCCCACTCTTTGAGTGCTGCTTCATACTCTTCGATCCTGGAAAGCAGAGTGGTGTCAGTTACCCACTGTGACATTTAAAACACTGATTGAGCCTCACAAGAATGCCGGATAAACAAAACTCCTGCCCCAGGCGGGGGTCAAATCCGTACCTTTCGCTTACCGGGCAGGTGCGCAATGATTTACGCAACCGGGCCATGGTTTCACCCTAACTCAGCAGCGGTAGACCCTAACAAAATTAAGCGTTGCCTTGGTTCAGATATTCGCTTGGAGATATCGTCTATTTGCTATTTCTCCCCTCTCCGAAACTTGCTCGTAATTTTTCCTCATCCACCTTCCGCGGTTATGTAAACACTCAACGCATCGCGCACTATTTATTTCTCAGTGACAGTTGAAGCCGGGGAACTCGTCAGATTCTTGCAAAAAGCCGATTAACAGTATCAAGCATATGTTATTGATTAATCGCCTGGAACGGTAGTTAATTAGTTGTCACTTCGAAGTTATCTTATGTACATGATAAGGTTTAAGGATATCTTAGGCATCTTACCACTCCTTCTTCCATCCGGTTCTTTGGATTGTGTTTCGTGGAGAGCCGAATCCTGTCATCCCTCTCTGAAGATAACAGTTTTTGCTACATAAAACTTTCTATTTGCGAATAGTGCAAGTGGAGGGGAGCTGAGATGATGTATGGTGATGTAGGGTGATGCATGGTAATGTACTAAAGTTTACCTGAGACGCCAATTTATTTGTTCCTGATTGAAGTGGAACGATACCCTCAGACTTCTGCTTAAGGCTGTCGTCAATTTCTTTTCCTCCCTAAAATATACAACAAAAATATCTGTATAATAACAGCTGTTACACAGAAGAAACTCACCTTGGTGTGAAGGATGACATCGCGAACTTTCAAAAATCCTCCACTACCAGCTTGTGTGGCAAATTTGTTTTGTCCAGAATACCACGGGGTGTATTCTGTACCACGTCGTTGCTGATCTTCCCTGAACCCAACGGTCAGCAAAATTATCATAAAATCGGCTTAAACGGCTGATTACTGTACTCACGTCATGTCAAGACCCTCAATTCGTTGGGTAGCCTGTCGGACTGCGCCAATTCCGGGTGGTGCAGTCATGCCTGTCTGCGAGGCGAAAATATTGGTTCCTGAAGTAGAAAGCATGAGCTATGGTGGTTCAGGGTTACATGAAGGGGTAGGTTACCATTTTGAAAGACGAGAACCCCGTGGGTACGGCGATCGTGAGGGAGACGTCCACGAACATTCGGTACCTGGTTTCGGTGAGCACCCATAGAAACCTGTAAATAGATTGTACCTGACTGTCGTAGTACTGTAAAGTATCACCAAAATGGATCATACCTCGCCGGCCTGAGTAGCAAGTCCGTAATCACCAGCTTGTTTCGGTATGATTTTCTCGCCTTCTTTATCGAGGACTGTTTCCCAGTCCTTTTTGTACGTGACTCTGGGCACCTGGAGTGAAGTTTTCATATTTGCCATTTAATTTTGAAAACCCAAAGAATGTCAAAAATGCCACCCATGGGTCGTACCTGACAACGTGATGCTCCCATTGGAGTTTCACCTTTTTGAGATGCATATTGATTGGTACCGCATTGAACTCTGAGCACATTTTCCGAACGACGGTCTGGTTCGATATACCTGGAAAATAATGGATGTAGCAAAATTGCGACAGATAATATTTGGTGTTTTCTAACCCTAGTTGTTTATCGCGGACAATGTTCCATCTTGGCATCCCGGGAGCGGTCATTCCACATTGGGAGTCGAACTTGTTGGTTGCAGCTTGCATCGAAAGGAAGGTGTTCCCGCATTTCAATTGTTCCAGCGTCCACCTCTTACGAGGGATCCTTTCCTCTTTACCGTAATCCTGGAATGAGTAGGCCTCAGCAAAACTGGATGAACATCCACTGTGAGCTTTTGCCTTCAAAGATTTGTTAGCTGAACAGTAACACGCTCAAAACTCAGGGGGCCAAATTCAACCCGGAAACAAAATAAATGGTTATTGAAAGCGAAAAATTATTATTTAGTAGCATCAGGAAAGATTTAGTATGCAAAATTAATGTAAGGAGCACATACCTCTTCTCCCATCGTGCTTGCCGTGTGATGGTGGACTGGCTGCCGGAGTCTCGAGAGCTGCCGAACAATTGAATCCCGCCCTCGCTGAGCCACTTGAGAGTGAAGCTCTAGCTAACTGCTGCTTTGAACTGCTCCTGTTCGAAGAATTAATCGGTCTAAAGTCAACAAGAAAACTTTTGGCGCTCGACTTTACTTGACAACGTGATGATATTTCGTCATTCGAAGTAATTTGAAAGGTTATACCCTACCAATAGACCGGGTTGTGACATGTTATAATATCTAGGATTTTTTGAAGCGGCATTAGTTATTCCCTCCATCGTGCCAGCTGGCTCGGGTTATTCTTTACTGTTTGCATTACTTTGCCGATGACGCGACGTGGGTGTGATAGAGCTTAGCGAAGGTGGGGAAGGCGTGGTAAATATTTGGCGGTGGAGGACATGACCACTTTTTCGATTGTCTTTCATAGGTCATAATAAAAAATCGAAAATGGTTCCTGAAATTGGGGTAAACGGAGCCGTCAAACCAGACCTTCCATCATCCGGGGTCGGTTAATTTTATAGGCTTGTTTGAAGAGACAAAGACTTTGACTTTGCCCATTCGCTGGCCCCCTCCCGTGCAAGTTCCCCCCAAAAAAAAACTTATGTACCGGCAAATCGCATTCAAATCACTCACGAATGTACCAATGGAAGTAGAATGCGCGCCGCATCCCAAAAAGGGATTGGTCAACGGCGAATGCTTTGTCCTTTTACCCTTTAATATTATAGTTCTGTTTCTGAAGAAGGAACTCGCTTTGAGATACCTCTACGTCGTCGCTATGGCCTTCAAAGATGTATACCTCCAGATCTGCCTTCAAACGCTGATTTCACATCCACCCTCCAAATCTGCTAAACGATTCTTTGAATGACATGAAGCAGAAGTCTAGACGTCGTGAGATCGGACCCTTATCGTGCCTCCTGTTTCGCTTTTCTTTGAGAACACGCAAAGGATTTTCTACAGCATATTTCGAGGCAGCAAAACAGTAATACATGTCCAGGGATGATCCATGGATTTTTGACTGTGGGTTTCCCGATATTACTTGTGTGTTCCTGCTTCTAACGCTATCACAGATCATTTAGCAGAGTCTTCAAGATTGAGATGAGCGTTTGTAAGGAGATCTGGGTGGAATACAATTTATCCATTGATGCCAGGCGACCTTGGATCTTAACTTGTTAGCCCTCGCAGTGTTTTAAACCGGAGTCAACCGTTCCTGGGAACTTTTCCAACGTATGAGGTCTTGAATGGAGGCGGTCGTATTCGGGTTTTGAAGCGGTGGTTGTTATGGAGGAAATATGATGAGAGCGACGGATTATGCAGTTCCTGATTTTCACAGATTTGGAGCACTACCAGCTACATAATTCCTCCTGCCCAATCTTGTGGTTTTTCGGCAGAGTCCGAGTGTGTCAAGTGATGGTAGGTTCAAGAATCGACACCTTCAATCGTCAGAAGGGATTAAAGCGCGAACCACCACCCCCCCCCTCCTCGGATGGGCCGTGAAATCGCGAAATCGCACAATACTAAAGTGACCCAATAATGTTACCAATGGGTGGATGGGTGTGATAAAGTACGCGACTTCACGCGGCATTCAAAACCGGGTTCGTACGTCTCCGACAAACCAGCCTTCTATTCCGTAATTGTGCACATTGGCTGGAGGAAAAATCACGGCCTTTATATATTTACTAAAGTACGTATAGGCCAAATCGCATTTAAATTGCCATTACGTTTCTGAATAGGGGAAGAGTGCGTGGCGTATCCAAAGTGAGACTGAGCAACCCCGAATGTTTTGTGTCTTTATTTACGTTGAAGAAATCTCTCTAGAGGTCACCGTCTCTTAAGCGTAACGATGCTAGTCATCGGTTCTACACCATACAACACATTGCTTAGGATGAAATCTTATATGTACATCCTTTAGTAGAAATCGATAATTAAAAAATCTATTGTTCTTATGCAGCAAGTGTAGCGAAAAATCGCCAACAGTTGTATTTATAAAAACATTGCTTTCTTCTGTAAACATCAGAAAAAGCATCGCTTGTTTTAAAACTTTTCCTGAAATATTGCGAACTTCTGAAAAGCTCGGATGAAATGTCTTTCTTTCATACTTTAGAATTGAGTTTCATTTCTCCCCGGCTCAGCTGATATGATCTTGTGTGACCATCCTACCGCGCTATCACGATGTAAAAGCATTATTTGTAGTCGCGGAACTCAGGAGGTACTTTCCGGCGTGATCATTCCGGGCGAGTCTATCAAAGTAGAGAGGCTTCTCTCAGGTGTCCTTTGTAACCGATTGCATCTATTTTTCATTGGGTGAATGCCCATCCGTATGACGAGCCTACGCTCGCTGTGTGTATTAAAAGCGGAATTTTCGATAAAAAGGCGCATTAGAGACAAGATAACATAGAATGGTCAACGTGCAATGACGAAAAAAAACTATGAAAAAGAACGGCTAAAACCCGAAAAAAGTTGTACCTTTTCACTCGTTGATAACTGGATTGATGCGACTTTCATCGGAGCTTGCCCTCTTCAACGCTTAGACGCTTCTTCTTCTTAATGGGCTAGAGGCAGGATGGGAGGGTTGTGGCGGGCAACGGCGGAAGCTCAGGTATGACTCTGTTAGCCTCCGAGGGCATACTATTCGCATCGGAAAGCGCAAATTGTCCGAGCACCTAAGGGCCCTCCTGCCTTCAACTAAAAGTGGTCCCTTTCTTTCGACCTCCGACATTATCGTGGATCTCCTTCAAAGTGAGTGGCGGGTGTGTCGTTCTGTTGTCTGTGTTCCTCCAAGTCAGGCAGGAAAATGGTTCCGTTTGAATCGTCAAGAGTTCTCATTGATATGCCAGCACAATGACAAACTTCACGCTAAATAAAACCGCTTTAAACCTTCGAAAATAGCAAATTACTTTACAGAATCACCCTCATCCACCACCCCTTAAGTTAAGACACTCACATGATTCTCAGCATGACGAATGACCTACATGGGTACACAGGCATTCCGTCAACACATTTACTCGAGTTTGGGATTCGCAAATTAGTGGGAGGAATTTTTTGAACGGCATCGTGGCGGGAATGTCCCTCTCGCGTGTGTTGCCGCGGCATTGTTTGCAGTCGTTAGGTCTGCGTTCTTGCCGCTCGACATTGCCTCTCGCTCGTGCGAGGAGCAGGAATAGTGCTGGTGTTGCCCCGCGTTGGAAAATTGAGGATCACAGAACAGATTTTTTTCGTGGTGTTTGTTTGTTTACTAGGTTCGAGCTTCGTCATTCACTGATTCAATATGCTTGACAATTGCTTTCAGCATGATGCCAAAGCTAAGCCTATCAATTGAGCTGGAGCATTGCTACACAGTAATCCAACATGATTGAGTTCAGCATGACATTGAAATCAAATGTTGAGAAGAAAGTCTGACTCATGCTTTGCAGCGCGTAGCTGTGTGGGCTTTCCCCGACATCCCCGAGTGCCCAGATCAGCGTAACGGATAACAGAGCTTGAGTGGTTCCCTCGTTCTGCCGCACGTTATGACGTGCGCTTGCAGCTAAGTTGCGCTGTAGGAGGGAAATCTGGATTTTGAGCGAAGGTCTACCGACAAGTCGAACAGGCTGCCCCCACTCGAGAGCTAGGTAGCATATGATCTTCATAGGCCCAGAGAATTGAAGAATCGGGGGATTGGAGAACGAAATTAGTTCCGCTTCCACTTCATCTGTGCTGACTCATCAACCTCTGCTTTGCCTTTATGTCTAGCACGGCTAAAATCCGATGGTGAGGTGGTAAATGCGATGGAGCAATCGGTGGATTAATATCGCGAACAGAATTCACCTTCCCAAATAAGGCCCTGTTATGCCATTACGAGGACACGCTACGGCCCTCGTCCCGAAGGGAGTGCCCGTAACGGCTTACTAGGGCCTCGTCCCAGTCCCTTAGGAGCTGCCTCCCCCACAGCAGGTATATTGCCTTTTTCTGAAGTCTATTCTATCGAATTACCTACCTTTGAAACAAAATCGGTTTTTCACTGTGATCGCAATGCGCAGCGATTGAAACGCTACGGGAATTCTGTGCTCCTGCTCTGAAGCCTTGGCAATTTGGCAGTTCATCAATACGTCATCTTTCCTAGATCTCCGGATACTTGGCGCTGAACAGGCTGCGCTTGGCGTAACGCGCGGATTGAGACGCAGCGCCGAAATGGGGTCACCACGCGTAGCGACGTGACGACGTATACTCGTTGCGACCCATAGGACGAACACAGCCTTACGGCTCCGCAATCTGCATTTCCTGGCTAACCTCATTCGTTATTAGCAATCAACCAGAGATCCATGTCGCAAATTTGAATAGCGGGGCACAGCTTATGACGCGCAGTTGCGTCGCGTTTGGTTAACTTCCCCCGGTGTACTGCAAGAAGTGAAGCGAAGAAGTGATGTCTTTGACCGCGCGTCTTTATGTCAGTATTCCAAAGACGGCCTGTCTGAGAGCATAACTGATTCCAAGTACTCGTTAATACATATAGTAAGCTATGTATCCCAACTCATTTCGGTTCTGGTTGTCGCCTAGACTGTCTATGCGCGAAGGGCCCCAGATATGAAGCAGAATATCAGAAATAGATTTTCTATAGATTTAGGCGCCGGTGTATTTGGGGATGAAATGTGAGTAAGGTTTGTGTGTCTCTCAACTGTTTGTCCCTGCGACAGTAATTTTATTCGCAGGGGGTGAACCCTGCGACCGAGTGGGATTAACGCTAGGGAGAAAAAGAAGAAGGCAGTTTTTGCAGGGGAGGGGGAAGAACACTCCAGGTAGGGGGATCATTCCGGAATTATGTATTCAAGTGGAAATATTTGTTGTGATTGTTGTGATTCTGAAAGCCTCGAGTGCTCCGCACCGTGATGCTCCACCCCCCCCCCCTCCTCTTATTAGTACCATCGCCGAGATTCAGCCGTACATAGAAAAATGGGATGAGCAGGGATGAGCATGTTCGCCCGAGCTGAGGGAAGGCG